TGAGCTTCAACTTTCTCGTCTATAAAATGGAGATAAATCCCTGACTCATAGTAAAGATCAAATCAGAAAGCAAATGCACATAAATGAACCTAGTTGCATCAGTTTGTTTTGCTGCTCTAACAAATCACCATAAAATTAGTGGTTTAAAACAACACAAATTTATTATCTTACATTTCTGGAGGTCAAAAGTCCAAAATGGGCCTTAGTTGGCTAAAATTCAGTTGTCAGCAGAGCTGCATTCCTTCCGGAGGTTCCATGAGAGAATCTGTTTCCTTGCCTTTTACGGTCGTCAGCTGCCACCTGTCTGTATTCGTTGACTGATAACCTCTTTCTCCAACTTGAAAGCCAGGAGTGTAAAATCTTCAAATCTCTCTCAGGCTCTGGCCTTCTACCTCCTTCTTCCACATTTAAAGGGCCCTGTGTACACTGGTCTCATCCAGATAATCCAGGACAATCTTTTTGTTTAAGGTCAGTGAATTATCAACCTTATTTCCACTTGCAACATTAATTACCCCTTGCCATTTAATATAACATATTCACAGCCTCTGGGATTAGGATGTGAACACCTTTGGCAGGTTGTTATTCTGTTTACCAGCATTGCACAATGAGTAGAACCTCACATATGTTCAATAAAGACTTGAGGACATTGGAATTCCCTTTTAACTCTAGGACTCCATGAAATTAAAAAAAACAAAAAACAAAAAACAAAAAAGACCCAGTGCAACACAAACACACAATTTAACCTATAAGTGCGTTTTCAATCTTAATAACAAGATTCCCATTTTACCTTTGGGAAACTGCTATTGTCACTGGCAACTTGAGTTCTTTCCTTACTTTCTATTAGTTGCAAAGAAAGAACACCCAATTGGGAACAAAGTAAGTAGATTTTATTCCTGACCAGGAATGAAGGAGGTGAGCTCTAACTACACCCTCTACCAAACAACAGAAGGCATAAGGTCTTTAAGGACTGGGTATGGGGTGGGAGAGGGATGATAATATGTGCAGGGCGGCACTCCAGACATACAGACTCAATTCATGAACATATATCCTCATACAACCCAGGTAAAATGGCAGAGATTTTCTTTTTGGGAGGAAACGTTGGGATTATAGTGATATGTTAACAATCTAAAGGCATCTGGGGAGCCCTCTGTTCCACTGTGTGCCAGTTTGGAGGTCTTATCTCCCTCTGGAATTTGGTCAGAGGTCACGAAACTCTGGTGCTGCGTCGGGAGGTGGGTTATTGGTCTCCCTGACTTCAAAAATGAAGCCGCGGACCCTCGCAGTGAGTGGTACAGTTCTTAAAGATGGTGTGTCCAGACTTTGTTCCTTCAGATGTTCAGATGTGTCCGGAATTTCTTCCTTCCGGTGGGTTCGTGGTCTCATCGACTTCAGGAGTGAAGCTGCACACCTTTGGGGTGAGTGTTACAGGTCTTAAAGGCGGTGAATCTAGAGATTTTACTTCCGGTGGGTTCGTGGTCTGGCTGGCCTCAGAAGTGAAGCTGCAGACCTTCATGGTAAGTATTACAGTTCATAAAGGTGGTGCATCTGGAGTTGCTCATCCCTCCAGGTGGGCTTGTGGTCTTGCTGGCTTCAAGAGTGAAATTGCAGACTTTTGCGTGACTATTACACCTCATAAAGGCGGTGCCAGAATGAGCAGCAGCAAGATTCAAAAGAACAAAACTTCCACAGGGTGGAAGGCGACCCAAGCAGTTTTGCTGCTGGAGTGGGTGACCTACTTTTATTCCCTTATCTGGCCCCACCCACATCCTGCGGATTGTTCCATTTTACAGAGAGCTGATTGGGCCGTTTTACAGAGAGTTGATTGGTCCGTTTTGACAGAGTGCTGATTGGTGCATTTACAAACCTTTAGCTAGACACAGAGTGCTGATTGGTGGGTTTACAATCCTTTAGCTGGACACAAAGTACTGATTGGTGCATTTACAATCCTGTAGCTAGACAGAAAAGTTCTCCAAGTCACCACTGGTCCCAGAAGCCCAGCTGGCTTCACCTCTCACTGGCACTCCCTGAGGACTTTGTGGCACCTAGGCCAGGCACTCTGGCAACCCAGAAGGAGCTTGTCCCAGACAACCGAGAGAAAAGAGGGGAAGCGAGAAAGAGACAGAGACCCGCCATCGTAGCCAATGACCCTGGAAGAGGGAGCGGCGGTCCAGGCAGGGGATCCGGCCTCCGATCAAGCCCAGCAGGTGCAGGCCTGTGGCGCCCAGTGCGGGGACCCGCCGAGCCGCGCCCACCGGGAACCCGAGTCAGCCCGCCAGCGCCCCGCGCAGCCCCTGGCTCCTGCCAGCACCTCTCCCTCCACACCTCCCCGCCAGCAGAGGGAGCCGGCTCAGGCCTCGGCCAGCGGCAGAGAGGGGCCCCCACGGCGCAGCCGCGGGCTGAAGGGCACCGTGAGCTGGGCCAGAGCGGACGCCGAGGCTGAGGAGACGCCGAGAGCGAGCGAGGGCTGCTAGCACGTTGTCGCCTCTCAGTGCCATCCCTGGCCGTCTGGTAGCAGCTGTAATGAATAAAGGACTAAAGAAAAACCGTAAGAAAAAGAACCTTCCCCGTTATTTCATCGTAGCTGCGCTGGAAACAATATTTGAAACTGAGTACAGTAAGTCCTCTCTAATGTCATAGATTGGTTCATGGAAACTGTGACTTTAAGAGAAGCTGCATATAGCAGGTCCTGGAGTACAGTCCTTTAGCTCCAAGTCATTTCCTTCAAGGTTCTTTTACAAGGTTGATGAAAATTTTTTTTTTTAATTTTTTTTTTTTATACATTGCTTCACTTAAACAGAAGTTTAAGATAGTCGAACTCAGGCATTACCATGGAAGCATCTTTCTAAACGCTTTGCTTCAACTGAGAATTTGAGTACCTTTTCAATGTCAGTGCTTAAGTTAACAATAAGTGTGTTGATCAGGCCAGCCCTCAGGCCAGTGTTACTGAGTTCTCCTAGAGGCTTTACTCTCAAACTGATCATTTATCAATACTTCCACTTCCCGTAAGAGAGAAAGGAAAGGAGTGAGCAAAGAGAGAGATAGAGAGAGAGGGGTGGGGGCAGAGAGGAGAATCAACAAGAGGAAACACACGTTCAAACGTGTACTGTATGCAGTACGTGGTCAATACATATTTTGTGAATGAATGGTAAAAAAATCAATATTAAAAAAAGAGCAAGTCGTATTTTTGAAAATGACAAAAACCAGATGCTTTTTCTGGGGATTGTGTCTTGAAAAAAGGAAGTGGAGTTATAATAAGACCAAGTGTCAGTAAATGCTAGCATTATGATTGTTTTACATATTTTTTAATTATACTTTAAGTTCTAGGGTACATGTGCACAACGTGCAGGTTTGTTACATATGTATACATGTGCCATGTTGGTGTGCTGCACCCGTTAAGTCGTCATTTACATTAGGTATATCTCCTAATGCTATCCCTCCCCCCTCCCCCCTCCCCACAATAGGACCCGGTGTGTGATGCTCCCCTTCCTGTTTCCAAGTGATCTCAGTGTTCGATTCCCACCTACGAGTGAGAACGTGCGGTATTTGGTTTTCTGTTCTTGCGATAGTTTGCTGAGAATGATGGTTTCCAGCTGCATCCATGTCCCTACAAAGGACACAAACTCATCCTTTTTTATGGCTGCATAGTATTCCATGGTGTGTATGTGCCGTATTTTCTTAATCCAGTCTGTCACTGATGGACATTTGGGTTGATTCCAAGTCTTTGCTATTGTGAATAGTGCCGCAATAAACATATGTGTGCATGTGTCTTTATAGCAGCATGACTTATAATCCTTTGGGTTTTAAAGTATTTCTCCTAGACTCGACATGGGAGTATGTACAAGGCTCTTGCTGTTTTATACTGGAAAATCTGCCTCCCCTGCTGATGAGATTAAAGAGTGAAATCCCTGTATAGTTAGCCAGCCTGAAGCCTGCAAACAAGGTGACACCTAATTCCCTAGCACCTTGACTGCCAAAGATTTGAATGGAGGATCAACAATAGCACAAAAGGTTTCTGGGAGGTCTTGAAGCAGCGTACACAGCCGCAGCTGGGGGGAAAACAGGTAGAGGATGGGGAATTGGGAACCACAAGTTGAGTTTATCACAGCTCCTCCTTCTCTGAGGAGGTGAGATCAAGCAAGACCATGCCCTTAACAGCCAGCAGAAAGGAGGTGAAGGTATCACATTCATTTCTATGTGGGACCCTCATGGCATCAAGCTTGAGGAGTTTTGCAACCATATGAATAATGGATTGACTTTTTCAGACTCCATTTGTTCTTCGCCATTCATGAAGAATTGAAGTTTTCAATTTTTCAGACATTTTGCCTCTAGATGAATGATTGAATCATGTAGTTGTCAGCCGATGTCTGATATCATATTGATTCAGGTTAGGGCTGTCTAGAGTATGAGGTTGTTTGTTCTTCTGAAGCCATGAGGAGGGGCCTTGCTGAGCACATTTCTGTAACCCAGTGCCTACTCCAGAGCAGACCCTGGGTGAATTTTTGTTGAATTTAAGAGGTAATAGATTTAAATTGCTTCTGAACAGACTTTTGTACCCATTTTCTTGACTGCCGGCCAACAAATTCCATGGGAATGAACTCTACCATTTTTGTGAGATAAGATTTCATAGTGGTAAAAAGCAAAACTCTGGAATTAGACCTATGAACAAATCTCCATTTGCATAGTTACTTACAGGCTATGTGACCTTGAGACAATTACTGAAATTATCCGAGCCTCTGTTTACCCATCTGTAAAATGGGAATAATAACATTGCCAACGTATAGAATTCTTGTGAGCATTAGTTAAGCATCAGGGGAGACACTGATTCAGGTGGATCGTTTCCACTGCTTGGATGTAATGGATTGTTGTGTATCATTTTCATTTCCCTCTGGTGGTAGCACTTGCCAGCATGTGTTCTTCTTCAGGATGCTTGGACTTTTTCCCTGTGGGAACCAAGAGAAGATGATCCAGAGAGAGAAGCCTCCTGAGGTGTAGGGTTGGAGAGAGTCCAGCCCTATGGGAGCATTGTCTGCTGCCTGAAGGGGTTTCTATAAATGTATCTTTCTTCACCCCAGGGTGAACTTTATTAGAGCAATACCTCTCAGGTCCTTTGGCTATCCTTATCAATTCCACCACCTCTGGAGAGAGGACTGTGATGGGGAGGCCTTGGGGTGAAGTTTTCAGGAGGAGGCTCTATGGGAGGCCTCAGAGGGTTGTCAGTAGAGCAGCCTTTGAGCCTGCCTGAAAGTGTGTGCGGCCGGCTACACACACAGAGGATAGCTCTGCTCACCTCTTTCTCCAGCTCTCCCTCATCCCCTCAGCCTTCCAGCAGCCCCTGCTCAGATCTTTCCCTCAGGAAGTCTCTCCTTCATAATGCTCTGTCCTCACCACTGTGAGCTCACACATCTTTCTTAGCATTATGTGGTAATGGCTGGTTTATGACAGCACAGATAATAACATATTTACCTTGCTATCTTAGGCTACTAGTAGAATCCTGGCACATCATGGGAGCTCCTTGACTTTTTCTACCCTTCCAGAGTTAGGATGCTTTGGGCTGCAGGTAACAGAACCCTCGATGAACACTAACTTTATTTCTGAAGATGTTCATCAACTTACAAAGCGGTTTAGAGGTAGGCAGTACCAGGGTCTTTTGGTGGTTCAACAATTTTGGCTGGGACCCAGACACTTTATATCATGAGTGTCCAATCCTTGGCTTCCCTGGGCCACACTGAAGGAAGAATTGTCTTGGGCCACACATAAAATACATGAACAGTAACAATAGCTGATGAGGTAAAAAAAAAAAAAAAAAAAAAAAAAATTCACCAAACATCATAATGTTTTAAGAAAGTTTGCAAATTGGTGTTGGGCCACATTCGAAGCTGTCTTGGTCCATGAATTGGACATGCTTGCTTTATATTCTTCTTCTCTGAAACCTTGTGCTGATGCTTCAGCCTCAGGTTAGTACCTCATGGGTATAAGATGGCTGGTCCAACTCCAGGGCCCTGTGTTCTCAAGGAACTGCCACAGGAAGGGAGGTACCAAATCTCTCAAGCTCTCTCCTTAGAGAGATTGTATCTTTTTATTCTACACATGAAGGCCCCCTGCAGACTTCCCCTTATGAATCATTGGCCAGAACTGTGTCCACCCCAAGACCAATCTATAGCTAAGATAAGTGGATTTCCTATTGAGTTAGAATGATCATGACTCATACCTTGAAAGGTGGGCTTGGGTTCTTGCTTCCTTCCCTGTGATCAAGGAGCCTCAGCCCACTAGCAGGGAGATGGAGAGGAATTGCCTATGGGGCCAACAGTGAACATCTCCTACATGCTCCCCTTCCAAATTCTTTGCCCTCCCTGCCTCCTTCCTGGGGACCTAATCCATGACCCATGCCTGTAACCTTTGTTTTCTTCTAGAGATCAAAATCCCCACTAGACTAGTTGTTCTGAAGGGTTAAGAAATAACCCCTGTCACATGTTCGTTTTTGCTATGTTTGTCTGTTCTGTCTCTCTCAGTACAGTATAAAATCTTTAAAGATAAAGACACCAGCCTGGGCAAATGGTGAAACTCTGTCTCTACCAAACAAATACAAAAATTAGCCAAGTATAGTGACACACACCCTGTTGTCTCAGCTAATGGGGAGACTGAGTTAGGAGGATCGCTTAAGCCCAGGAGGCAGAGGTTGCCATGAGCCAAGAAAGCACCGCTGCACTCCAGCCTGGGTGACAGGGTGAGATTCTGTTTCAAAAAAAAAAAAAAAAAAAAAAAGAAGATAAATACTATATTATATTCATTTTTGTCTCTAGTACCTAGCACAGATCTTGGCAGTTCAATAGGCTTGCTGAATGAAACAAGTGACTGAAGTCTTAAATTTAGTGAGAAAGCCTTGTAGACTGGGGTAGGGATGAGGTTCCAGTTCAGTAAATAACTTACGTGTGTAGCACAGAAGAATAATTTTCCTAAATGCAAGGCTAGTGTCACACTCATGTCTATCTGTCTTGCAATGAGAATGCTGGGCCACTGCACAGGAGTACTCACAACATATTTATGACACTGAATTGGATGTCCTCAGGAGAGGAGGATAGACAAGTGGCCCCCAGCTTGCCACTGAGGTCCACCTGCCCGGGGACTCACCAGCTTTGGAGAGGTCATCAGATTGCTTGACATGTCATTCACACTACATGGTTCTTTTTTTGTTTGTTTTGTCTTTTCTTTTACACTACTAAATTCTTAAGCACTCCAGTATCTCTGGAGCCATAGGAAATTGTTATTTCCTAGGATGGGGAAATCCTTTGAAAAAGGCTTATCTTTGCCTCATAGGCTGCAAGTGGTTCAGGACTGACCCTCTCTTTGAGCTTGTTTTCTCGTTCTCTAAATTGTTACTTGCTGTTGAGGATGCCTCATCTCTTGCACATTCAAAAATACACAATTTATTTTTAATCCAATTCAAGGATTAAAATCCAATCCAAAATGCAATTTTAATTAATTCAATTTCCTATAGCTTATGTACTTTCAAACAAGTAATTGATACCAACTTTCTAGAGAGTGAGGAAGGCTGGAGTCATACTATGACACATTTACTTGTTATACAGTGTCAATATCCTAAAAATTGCATGAATCATTGATGTTTATGGGTAGAATATCTCAAGGTTTACACATTCTAGTTGTACAGGAAGTAGGAGTCTAATTAACAGACCTCACAGAGGTCAAGATGGAGGTGAGGACATCAGGCAAGGAGGAAAGAATCATGGGTCAGTGCACTTTTTCATCCATTACCCCTGCCATCCCCTTTAGGTTTTTTCATTGGCCACAGATGGATAAGACTGAGGGTGTAACTGGGGCTCGAGTCTATGGAAGGCATGGCTCTTCTGAGCACATGTGACATTGAAATAATTAATTTGATGGAAGTGCAAGAAATGCATTATTACCTTGAGCCTACTAATACCTCTACATCTCTACAGTCCAGAGAAGAGCATTAATTCTGATAATGCTCCCTTGACTTGATTATTATAGCTTTCTGAATTATGTCAGGTGCTGAAAGAACATATTTATGTGGTAAGTATATTCTGTTTGAGATGGACAAAAAGTGAACGATGTGTAAGAGAATACTATTTTGAAACATATGTCTGGCTTTTATATTTATTTATTTATTTTTCAATTAATTAATTAATTATATTTTTGAGATAGAGTCTTGCTGTGTTGCCCAGGCTAGAGTACAGTGGCGCCATCTCGACTCACTGCAACCTCTGCCTCCTGGGTTCAAGAGATTCTCTCGCCTCAGCCTCCTGAATAGCTGGGATTACAGAAGCATGCCACCACACCAGGCTAATTTTAAAAATAGTTTTAGTAGAGACAGGGTTTCACTATGTTGGCCAGGCTGGTCTCAAACTCCTGACCTCAGGTAATCCAACTGCCTCGGCCTCCCAAAGTGCTGGGATTACAGGTATGAACCACCGCGCCTGGCCATGTCTAGCTTTTAAACATGACTCCCTCCCTAATGAGCTGACCTTGACCAATGTTTGTAGTATCTGAGAGATTCAGGTTCTGTTCCATAGTGAACTAGGGCATTACTACTTTTAATTCTGGATTCTTGTGAGAGTCAGATTGGATCATGTATGTAAACAGTGTCTAGTACCTAGTAGGTACTCACCAAATGTTAGTTCTGCTCATTGTATCTTGCAATATTTTAGAGTGTTAACACAGATATAATGGGATGTTTTATGTGGGACCCTTTTTGTCTCTTTTTTGGCTGAGGCCCAATAAATTAGATGCCAGCAACCCCCATATAACAAAGTGAGATGTTCTGATGTTGAAGTACTTGCTAAGAAGATTAAATATCTGTTTCAGTCCATAATCCTCTTTTCCATATTGGGAAGTGTAGTTGAGATGCCAGTGCTCACCAATATCTCCTGTGCTTTCTTATGTTTCCTGATCTCCTTGCAGAACTAGGGTCACATGGTCTGGCTAGTGGTCTGTGTATGGATGGGACACTTGTCACTTCAAAGTGCAAAAGAATGGATGTGGCTTCCCCAAGTCTTGATTGCATTAACACCAAAAGAAATCTATTCCCTAGCCTTGGTGGTTGTGGCTGAGCCATAAAACTGAAGTTGTCTGGATCTCAGGGTCACCTGATAGAGCAGCAGCCCTCATAAGACATCCAGATTCTCAGTGGGCTTTGCCTAAAAGTGGAACAAAATTTTGCTAAGCTGCCAACATTTTGGGGGTTAATTTGTGACTGGAACTTAATGTGACTGTATAAAGGAGAAACTGCAAAGTTGGGAGAGGATTTCTTAGAGGAAGTGGTCAAAATGCTGTAGCACGTTCTTCCCCTTGACCCTATGGGGAAGGGGAGGTGGGTGCTTCTCTTTCACTTCTGCCAGTGAGAGGGCTTGAGCTGTTCATGTGGAGATGATGAGGAATAGAGACTATAGGATACAGAGCAGGAGATACTGTGGCCAGCTGGAGAGCAAGCTGATTTGTTTTTTTTTTTTTTTTTTTTTGAGACGGAGTCTCGCTCTGTCGCCCAGGCTGGAGTGCAGTGGCCGGGTCTCAGCTCACTGCAAGCTCCGCCTCCCGGGTTCACGCCATTCTCCTGCCTCAGCCTCCGGAGTAGCTGGGACTACAGGCGCCCGCCACCTCGCCCAGCTAGTTTTTTGTATTTTTAGTAGAGACGGGGTTTCACCATGTTAGCCAGGATGGTCTCGATCTCCTGACCTTGTGATCCGCCCGTCTCGGCCTCCCAAAGTGCTGGGATTACAGGCTTGAGCCACCGCGCCCGGCCGCTGATTTGTGAATAGGTTACCCTTCTAGAGTTTGCAGGACAAGGATGCATGAAACAAGGTTGGAGCTGAGTGGAGGACAGCTGACCTAGAGGTGGCTTGGGGGAACTTGGCCCAAGGCCATGTGTAGAGGATTTGGAACCCAATAGAGCCGGTTATGTCCAGTGGACAGGGGCTGAGGAAGGAACCCAAAGCTGCCTGTTGCAGGAGGCAGTGCCTACTACCATTGGCCTCTGAAATGTGAAAGAAAGGGCCCCTGAGAGAGTTGGTTTCAAGTCTCTACTACAGCTGGAGGAAATCCTTTCCTGCCCTTGAATTCTGGAGGTGGCAGGTGCATCTTAAATTATTTATATACATTTATGGTGCACAAGTGCAATTTTATTAAATGAATATATTGCATAGTCGTGAAGTCTGGGCTTTTAGTGTGTCCATCACTGGAATAACATACCTTGTACCCTTTAAGTAATTTCTCATCCTTTCATGTTGAAGGGAGGGGCAGACGAGCTAGGTGGGGAAGGGAGAAGGTGGCCTTGTCCCCTCTCCTGCATGAGGGAGCTATCCAGTCAAATGCAGTTGAGAGCTTTGACTCTTGCCGGGAACTGAACAGTTTTATTAAGAAAAAAGATTGGGAGTCTAAAGTAGAGAATTTTCATGTAATAAAATTGTACTTGTACTTCCTAAATTTATACAAATAGATAAAAAGTAGAGGGTTTTTAAAAGATACGCAGTGACAAAAAATACAAAATCTTTTTTTTTTTTTTTAAAGCATAGGAAAGAATTAGTCTCTTAAAGCAGGTTTGAGTTGAATGGGTATAGAGAGGAGGAAAGTTTTTTTTCCTGAACTCCCTCTTGCA